GGAAGCGGAAAAGGTGAAGTTGCCTCCGACTCCTCGTTGGAAAAAAACGTTCGTGTGGCGATCCCCTTAAGAGAGGGAAAGGGAGATAGATAGAAAAAAAGAAAAGCAGGGAGAAGGGGATAGAGAAGAGACAAGAGGGAGAGAGACAAGGAAGGAAGATAGATAGAGAAAAAAAAAAAGCTGGGAGAAGGGGATAGAAAAGCAACAAGAGGGCGAGAGACGAGGAAGGAAGGAAGATAGATAGAGAGAGAAAGAGAAAAAGAAAAGCAGGGGAAAGGGGATAGAGAAGAGACAAGAAAGAGATAATAAGGGTGGGGGAGGAATACAGAGACAGAGATAAGGGGTTTCCTTAAAGCACAAAAGAGGTGAAAGGAAGGGAGGTTATCGACCAGGAGACGAAGCTTAGGGAAGGTCACTGGGATACCTTAACGGTGCGTGAACTGACCGAGGGGAGAGGGGGGAGATGAGAAGGGGAGGCGTAAGGGAGAGAGAGAGAGAGAGGGAGAGAGGAGAGAGAGAGGAGAGAGAGAGGGGGGGGAGAGAGGAAGGAGGGGTTGAAGGGGAGGGTGGAGGAGGGGGGGTGAAAGGGGAGGGGGGGGGAAGGAGGGCTGAGGGCTGATTGGGGAAGGAAACGATTAGAGAGAAAAAGAATTTAAATCGATTGAGGAGAGGAAAAGGAAGGAGAGAGCGAAGAGAGAAATGAAGGGAAGGATAGAAAGGGTGGGGGTGAAGAAAAAGGGGGAGGGAAGGATGAAAGGAAGGTTGGAGGGGGGGGGGGAGACGTGGAGGAGAATAATGAAGGAAGAGGACGGAGGGAAAGTCTTTATTTTTGTGAAAACTAATTACTGGAACATTCTTCAAGGGGGGGGGGGTAGGGAGGAAGGTAGAGGGTTGATGAGAGGGGGGGTGGGAGGGAGGCAGAAGAAAGAGGAGAGAATGAGAGTAAGGATTTGATAAGGATAAGGATGGTGTGAAAAGAGGAGGAGGGAGAAGGAAAATGAAGAGGTAAGGAAACAGACAAAGATTTAGTTATAGAGAGAAACATGGAGAAGGAAAGGAATAAGGAGGAAGGGTGAAAAGGGAAAGTAGAGAAGGAAAATAAAGTAGGTAACAGAAGAAGACGAATAATAATAATAATAATCATAAGCGAAAAGGAGGGAAGATACAAAGGAAAACAAAATCTTAAGAGAAAAGAAGAAGAAAGAGAAAAAATAAAAGAAAGAAAAGGGAAAACAAACGAAAAAAAAAGGAAAGAAAAAATAAGAAGATAAAAGAAAGGAGAAGAAAAGAAAGAAACGAAAAAGAGGAAAGGAGGAGGAAGAGGAAGGAAAGGGGAGGGCAGGGCAAGATGAAGAGGAAGAGGAAGGACCAGACAAGGAATTGGCAAGTCGTCCAAGGAAGAAATTGAAGAAGAGAAGGAATAAGGGAAGAAAGAGAGAATTGGATAAAAGGGGAATACAACTTACAAAAAGGGAAAGGAGAGGAAAAGAAAGAAATAGAAGAAATGAGAAGAGAAGTAAGAGAATTGGAAAAAAGGGGAATACAACTTACAAAAAGGGAAAGGGGAGGAAAAGAAAGGAATAGAAGAAATGGGAAGAGAAGTAGAAAAGAATAAAAGAGAATGGAATTTAAAAAGGGAAAAGAGGAGAGGAAAAAAAGAGAAAAAGAAGAAATAAACAAAGACAATGAGAATAAAAAGGAAGGAAGTTAAATAAAAAATATAAGGAATGAGAAGAAAAGAAAAGTAATAAGAAGGAAAGGGAGAATTGAAAAGAAATAGACGATAAGAGAAGCGAATGGAATGCAAAAGAAAACAGGAAAAAAATGAAATCAAAGAGAAACTAAATAAAACTTGGAAGAATAAGATAAAAAGAAGAAAATTAAAACACAAAAAAGGAATGAGATAGTAATAGAAGAAAGGAAAAGAAGGGAGATGGAGATAAACCGAAAAGCGAAGGAAGGAGGAGTAGGAAAACGGAAAGTGAAGGAATGAGATTGGAAATAAAATACAAGAAAAGAAAATGTGTAACACGAAAAAAGGAAATAATGAAAATAAGATAAAAAATGAAAAGGAAATAATGAAAAAAAAATAAAAAGAGGAAATGGGTAAGACGGAAAAAGGAAATAACGGAATAGGAAAGTGAAGGCGAGAATAGCCATTAAAGTTGATAAAGAAGGAAAGAAGAAAACGAGTAACAAGCGACTGAGATTGAAAATGAGAATGAGAAAGAGTGAGAATAACGCAGATTATTCATTAAGTTTTAAGAGAAGTAAATTATTTATTAGATTATTAGATTATAAGAGAAGGAAATTATTGTTTATTAGTTCATTATTAGATTATAAGAGTGAGATTGTGAGACTGAGACTTAAAAGTAATGGTAATAAAAACGAGAATGAATAGAAAGTGGCAGGGTTAAAAAAGTGATGAGGAATATAACATTTTCATAGTATTAACAAAAAAAGAAAAACTGACAGTACGAGAATGAATAGAGTGTAGCAGGGTTAAAAAAGTGATGAGGAATGTAACATTTTCATAGTAGTATTAACAAAAAAAAAAAAAAAAAAAAAAAAAAAAAAAAAAAAAAAAAAAAAAAAAAAAAAAAAAAAAAAAAAAAAGCTAGCAGTAGCCATACCAATCGATTCAAAATTAGTGCATGATAAGGTGGTTCGTGGTTGTCCGTTGACATCCGCGACTCTGGACCTATTTCGTTTCTTCTATGATAAGAAAATCGTTTTGAAGTAGTAAATATAGGAGGGAGGGAGAAGGGAGGGGGGAGAGGAGGCGGGGAGAGGGAGGGAGGGAGGGAGGGAGAGTGTTGAGTGGGTCCGTTTTATTTTTTTATTTTTTTTTTATTTATTTTTTTTTTTTAGCCTTTTCATAAACATCAAGGGAAGAACATGCAAATGGGGGGGTTATTACGTAAGATTTATGTCGATCTGTGCGCCGGAAAAAGAGGAGGTATGACGTTTATGGCAACAGTAACGAAGTCGGAGGTACGATTTCGGATGCGTTGAAGTCTGTAATTTTGGGGGGATAATTTTCTTTTTCTCTTTCCCTTCCATGTGATTATTGATGTTATTGTTGTTTTTATTACACGTATAGTTTCTAGGGGGGGGGGCGGTGTGAATGACTTCTGATACTTTATTAGGTTTCGTTATAGGATGTTTCACGCAACCTGGAATAAAGCCGCTATTTGTCAGTTCGCCATTGCCATTATCTCGTTCTTTTGAAAACTTGGGGAAAGTGTTTTAGAATTCCCTTCCTTTGAATGTTCTTATTCGCTTCTCTGGAATCTCTGTGATTAATATTTTTTTCTCTCTCTCTTTTGCAGGTACGTTTAAAACTCCGATCAACTCTGACGTCAGTAAGGGAGTATATGCGCTGGAAGAAGCTGATTGGCTCGTCCGTGATCCGGGTTGTGTCAACAAAAGAAGTCCCGGATGAAGGCTCTGAATGCCTATTGGTCGACGGGCCGGCGCGCGAATTTCAGGCAAGCATGAATTCCGTGATAAAGTGATTGATTTGCGCCGGACTTAACGCGTTGTCGTTGAATAACTCGCACCGGGCCCCGTCGAGCAGATTCTGCCGATAATTGCGACATCATGATGGAAGCAGAAGGGGATAATTATCTTTGCGCTGATTGGCTGGCTAGTCTTCATTACGTCACTGGTGTTGATAAGTCGTTTAGATTTTGATTGGATGATTGAAGAGGGGATTAGCCAATAGGAGCACCGTATCTGTCGCTAATGAACCCGGATGTGAAGAGTTCTCGAAGGCTTATGTGAAGATGGCGCTGGGCGGAGGCTGTTATGGGACGGAGTGGTGGGGGGAGGAGAGGGAATGAGGGAGGAGGAGAGGGAAAGGGAAGGGTAGGAGGAAGGGAAGGGGAGAGGAAAGAGTTAGGGGAAGGGAGAAGGAGAAAGAGAGGGAAAGGGAGAGGAAAGAGTTAAGGAAAGGGAATAGGAGAGGGAAAGAGGGAAAGGGAAGGGCAGGAGGAAGAGAAAGAGAGGGAAAGAGAAGGATAAAGGGGAAAGGGAAAGGAAAGAGTTGGGGAAAGGGAGAAGGAGCACCACGATTCGAGAAGCCGCCAGTCACCGTCTAACTCAACCCCAACCACCATCAACGCAACCCAACCCAAAACCCAACTCCACCCACTCAACACCCACCAACCCAACCAACAACCAAAACCCAACCAACCAACCACTCAACTCAACTCAAACTCAACTCAACTCAACTCACTCTCAACAACCACTCAACTCAACTCAAAACTCAAACTCAACTCACACTCCAACTCACTCAACCGAACCCAACTCACCCAAACCCACCACCCCCAACTCCCAACTGCAACCCAACTCAACCCCAACTCAACCAACTCAACTCCAAACTCACACCAACTCAACCCAACTCAACCAACTCAACCAAACCTCAACCCACTCACCAACTCAACCAACTCAACCCAACTCAACTCCAACTCAACCCAACTCAACAACCTCAACCCAATCAACCCAACTCAAACCAACTCACCCAACCTCAACCCAAACCAACTCAACCCAACCAACCCAACTCCAACCCAACTCAACCCACTCAACCCAACTAACCCACTCAACCCACTCAACTCACCAACTCACAACCCAACTCAACCCACCAAACTCACCCAACGTCAACCCAACTCAACCCAACTCACCCAACTCAACCCAACTCAACCCAACTCAACTCACTCAACTCACTCAAACTCAACTTCAACTCAACTCAACGCACTCAATCTCAACTCAACCAACCCAACCCAACCCAACCCAACCAACCCAACCAACCCAACCCAACCCAACCCAACCCAACCCAACCCAACCCAACCAACAACCAACCCAACCCAGACCCAAACCCAACCAGAAAACCGGCAAACCACCCAAATAATTAAACTTGGGAAAGAATCCCCGAGAGCCGACCTACTTAGATCATCGTCTCTGGAGTTAACAGTCAAGGGCTTGTGATAAGGAAGCAATTAGCGAGGTTGTGTTATCTTGACTGGTGGCCGCCTCTCGGGGGGATTCAGCTGATCTTTGCCAAGACGACTGGCCGGCCGTGGATCTCTCCCCGCTTCTGCTGTTGCTGCTTGCTGCTTGCTGCGTTTCTGCTTGTGTGGGTCCTTGGGGTCGGTTCTCGTGTTCTCGATTGCTTTTGGTTTCACTTAAGGTTGTTGGTGTGCTTGGTGACCTTTTTCTTCAGCTTGTTTCTGTTTGCTTAGTGTGTTTGGGTGGATCTCGTCCTGCTTCTGCTGCTGCTGGTTTCTGCTTGTGTGCTTGGGGTTGGTTCTCGTTTTCTGGGTGCTTCTGCTTTCACTTAAGGTTCTCGGTGTGCTTGGTGGCCTTTTTCTGCTTGTTTCTGCTTGCTTCTGTCTTTTAGTGTGTTTGGGTGGATCTCCTCCCGCTTCTGCTGCTGCTGCTGCTGTTTCTGTGTGTGGGGTGCTTGGGGTGGATTCTCGTGTTCTCGATTGCTTTTGCTTTCGTTTTGGTGGTCTTGTGGGTGCCTTGCTTTGAGGGACTTTTTCTTCAGCTTGTTTCTGCTTGCTTGGTGTATTTGGGTGGCTCTCCTGCTTCTGCTGGTTTCTGCTTGTGTGGGTGCTTGGGGTTGGCTCTCGTGTTCTCGATGCTTCTGCTTTCGTTTTGGTGTGCTTGGTGGCCTTTTTTCTGCTTGTTTCTGCTTGCTTGGTGTGTTTGGGTGGCTCTCCTGCCCCTGCTTCCTCCTTTCTTTGTTTTGTTTACCTATCGTCCTTTGCTTCTCTATCTCTCTATCCTCGTTTTCCCTCCCTCTTTTCTTTCCTTCTCCTTCCTCTCTTCTCCTGTCTCTCTCATTGACTCTCTCTCTCTTCTCATCTTCCTTCTCTTCTTCTCTTCTTCTTCTTCTCTCCTCTCCTTCTCTCTCACCCCTTCCTCCTTCCTTCTCCTCGTCTCCTCCCTCATTCATTACTCATTCTCTCCTCATCCTCACATTGCCGCCCCTTCGATGCAGAAGACAAAGAGGAGTAAAAAAAAAAGAAAAGAAAGAGAAAGAAGAGATAGAGAAAAAAAAAGGGGCAAAAAAGAAAAAGAAAAAAAAGAAATTTCCTTGACACTCATAACCTTCGCGATGTCTTGAGAAAACCGCCGTTATTCCTGGAGGTTTATGTCTTCTCCTATTTTCCTTTCGGGGATGAATCTCCCGCCGTGAATCTTTCGTGTTTCGCGTTTCCTCCTGTGTCTCGTGTTCGTCGTCGTCGTCGTCCTTGGTCTCCCGTTTATTCCGCTTTCGTGTGTTTTTTTTTTTTTTTTTTTTTTTTTTGGGGGGGTAGGGAGAGGGGAGGGGCTTCCCTTCCTAGTTTTTTTGTTTTTGTATTATATTTTTTCCTCGCTTTTCTTATTTTCTTTTTTTTTTTCTTTCTCTCCTTTCCTATTCATTCTTTCCTCTTTTATTCTCCTTTTTCCTCATCACTCTCCTCTGCTTCTTCCTTTTTCTTCCTTTCCTCTCTCTCTCCTCTTCTCCTCCTTTTCCTTCTCTTCTTCTCTTTCTTCCTTCCTCCTCCTCCTCTCCTTCTTCCTCTCCTCCTCCTCTCCACCTCCTGTTCCTCCTTCTCTTAAGAGGGTGTTCATGTTTCGCGAGATTTAAAAGTGCGACACATTTGGCGGGTATAGAGAAAATGAATAAATGAATAAATTGATAAGATATAAAGGGGAATACAATATGTAAATGGGAGGAAGGGAAGAAGGCATAATGAGAGAAGGTAAGAGCATGAAAGGGTGAGGATAAAAGCGGTGGGAAGCAAAGAATACGGAATAAAAAGTGAAGGGAATGGAGGAAGCGAAAGATAACAAGAAATAGAAAAAGAAGAAGATTGGATATTCGTTGTTTTATCTATATGTAGATGCATTTGACGAGTGGATAGAAGGAAGAGGTTGATAAATGGGAATAATTGATAACAAAGCCGTGAAATCGCAGATGGAATTGTGGAATGGAGGGAGAACTGCAGAGATAGATAAAACATGGAGAGATGGGCAGACGTGAAATTGAATAAATCGTGGACAAGATAAAAAAAAAAAAGGAATTGGACATGTTATATCATGATAGATATATACGGATGATATGTCACATACCACGCCTCAACGAATAGAAATGGAAGAAATTGCCCAATACAGTATATCACAATATACATTAACGGAAAGGGCGAAATAGGATAAATTGCGATAAATCTCAATGGAAGGCGAAATGGCAGTAAATCACAATACATAAGTAGGGAAACAAAGTCACATAGCACGTAATTCGGATAGGGAGGAGGGGGGGAGAAGGGAGAAGGGAAGAGGGGGAAGGATAGAGGGATAGGGAGGGATGGGGGAGGGGAGAGGAGAGGAGGAAGGGGGGGGAATAAGGAGAAGAGGATGGTGGGGGGATAGAGGAGAGGGGAGGAGGGGAGATAGGAGAAGGGGGTGGAGGGGGAGGAGGAGAAGGAGAGGAGAATGGGGGGAGGAGGGGAGATAGGAGAGGGGAGGAGAAGGGTGGGGGAGGGGGCAGAAAGGGATAGTAGGAAGGACCTGCCTGACCGGGGAGAGAGGGCGTGGCGGGGGAGGGGGGATAGAGGGGATAGAGGGGTGGGAGGGGGGGAGGTTTGGCCGGACATTTTGTAATCATTATGCTGAGGCGACAATACTTTAGTTTCTGATTTATTCGTCGTGGCGCGCGGCGGCGGGGGCGGGCGGGAGGAATATAAAGCGGCTCCTTTGGGGGGGAAGCGCTGCGCGGCGGGGGTGGCGGGCGTGGGTTGGGGGTTTGTTGTTTTGTTTTTGTTGCTGTTTTTGTTTTATTGTTGTTTTTTCTACTGTTTATTTTATTGTTTTTATTGTTTTTCTTACTGTTTTTATTGTTTTTGGCTGTTTTCTACCGTTTATTTTTTTTTTCTACCTGTTTTATTTGTTTTTTGATGTTTTTTATTGTTGTTGTTATTTGTTTCTGATTTCGCCTTCCCTCCTCATTTTCTTTCGTCCTCATCTCCTCCTCTCTTTTCCTTCCTCCATTCTTTTTTTGCTCCGATTCTCCTCTGTACTCTCCTCTTTCCCTCTCTTTTTCCTCTTTCTCCTTATGGCCTCTCCTCTTTCCCCCTCTTTCTCTTCTCTGGCCTTTCCTCCTCCTCTTCCTCTACCTCCTCTTTCCTCTTCTTCTGCCTCTTCTCCTTCCTCCTTCCTTTCCTCTACCATCTCTTTCTCCCTTCTTACTTCCGTCTGTTCTTGCTTCCTCCTTCCTCTTCCCTCTACCCCTCTCTTCTTCTATCCGTTTGTTTCTTTCTCCTTCCCCTTCTCTTCCTCTTCCTCTACTCCTCTTTCCTTCCTCTACCTCTCTTTACCGTTTGTTCTTCCGGTGGGCGTGTGTGGGCGTGTGTGGGCGCCCCCCGATCCCAACCCGAGGCTCTTCGCTGCACAACAAGGCTCTGCGCCGCCCTCGACACGCGTGTGCTTCCGGGGGGAAAAGGGGGGTGGGGGTGGGAGGGGGAAAGGGGGATGGGTGGGGGTTTAGGGGCTTTTCTTTGTCTTTTGTTTTTTTTTTCTCTTATTCTATCTTATTCGTTGTCTTTGTTTATTTTTCTTTTTCTTTTTTTGTGTTTTTCTCTTTTTTTTTTTTTTTTTTTCTCTTGCTGCTCTTTCTTTCCTTCTTTCCTCCTCTTCCTTGCCCCCCTCCTTTCCTCCGCCTTCTTGCCCCTCCTTCCTCTCTT